TACTTAACATTAAAAAATCTTTCGTATGGAACCCATTCCAATACTTCCCAACTATTAGTCGCAGTTAGTTGTGCGTTTTGAATAAATCTATCGATCGTGTTATTACCACTTGTCCATTGATCGAATTGTTGTTGAAAGTGTTCTGCATTGCAGGACATGCACCAGCCGTATCCAGTGTTTTGTTGCATGCATTCTTTACATTCTCCATATTTTCCATGTTGATGTTCCAGTTTTTCTGTTGACATCTCATCAGATAACTCCGAATTATCTACGGCCCTTTTACTATTTCTTGATCCCATTTTTTATTTCTATTATGAATTTATTGATCAAAAAAAAAAAAAATTATAAATAATCTATATAATATAAAGCTTTTATAAAAATTTTATTTACAAAATAGTCTTTAACACTTGCCAGAATTTAAAAGTCGTTTCTTACTGTTGTGTTATGATAGTCGTTAAAAAAAAAAAAAAAAAAGATAATAATAAAAACATAAAATAATTAATCACGTAAGAAATAAATGCTAGATTTTTGGTCAAGATGAGATAACATTAAATAATTCATAAAAAAAAAAAAAAAAAATTCAAAATGAAATCTTTTTTTCTCTAAGAGAATTGACCATCGGAGACGTTAGATTACGGGCTAAACTAAATTTTTTCTTAAAAAAAAAAAATTCAGGTTGCAAAAATATTAAGGAAAAAAATAGAAGGTCACAAATGTTTCACAAATGTTTCATGTAGTAAAAAAAAAATTACCGAAACTACCGATTTGAAAATTTGATTGGCAAATATTTGTAAAAAACGGCTTTTTCGGCAATTCTATTTCTATCTGAAACGTCGTGTAACTCATATGCCTAATGGGTGGTCCATGTTGTGTTCCAATAACAGCAAATAAATTTCTAAATTGAATTTGACAAATGTTTCACGTAAATAATTTTTATTTACTCTTCCATAGAAGCACATACTTACGTACGAACGCACGTACCATGCAATGCATCAGTATAACTTGTAAAGCATACCGGTTTTCACTATTTGAGGAATGTTTCAATAAATGACGAATATTGCATGTTAAAGTTCATATGACTACTGCAAAATGCCACATGGACAAATCTATTTTAATTAAAATAGCATAGCAGGCTTTAATCTGATTGAATAGACAGTTGAAATGCTGCGTACATAGATAACTTTAAACCAATTATAAGCCACGAAAACAAATTAAGAGTTGTGACCAAATAATGACTTCGGTTTATATACTGTTAAAATAATTAGAATCAGTATTTATTTGAAAACATGTTTACGCAAAATCCTGTTACATATGAAGACTTAACCTTGTTCTAATGCGAAAAAAAAAAGGATTAGCACTATTATTCAAAAATCAAGATGGTGTTATTTGTGTAAATAATGCTTTTAAAGTATCTGATCAAGATTTTGTACTAAAAATATTATACCAAATTTGATTCTATATAATAATAAATACAAAAATCTAAAACTCTATAAATATTTTATTAAAAACATCAGATATAATATTTCTATAGTACGTATTATCTAATACAAAAATAAAAGGTTTTATTAAGATAAATTCTTCAAGCTACAAAAGCAATAATATGTGATTGTTAAATATTTGTTATTATTAGAAAAAAATTTGAAAGAATATAGAAATTTTAAAATAATATTTTGAGTATCAGAGGTTTATCACTTGTGAGCATATTCAAGATATAAAAAATTTTCACAATTAGGTTAGTGTCAGATGTCACTACTTTATTAGTACAAATTTGCGAGGAAGATTTTTTTCTTTTTTTAGCGCACAGAAAAGTAGTTTATAGTAAAGCTCCTTTTTTTAGTTACATTTAATTTGAAACTTTTGATTGGTTGGCTAAATTTTTAGGGTGGTGACATTTATCGGTTTACTCATAACGATGAAAAAAAAAATACAGCATAAAATAATTCTGTGTCAGCTTTTACAGATCATTTGGACATGAAATATCTTAAACCACTCTTCTCACTGCAAATGACCAGGTTGTTCTTAAAATATCCTTGGCTAAATTTCTTTAAACATGCCGACTATTTTAATCTCAGAAACTGTTATCGTTATTACCGATCCGGATTGAGTGATTCTATTTATAGAAAGAAACAACGATAAAAAAAAAATTTTTTGCGTTTAGTTATACCGGTAATATCTAAACCCAGTGTTCAGTACTACGTTGTTCAGATTTATCCATGATCTTTCTAGCTTACTATTATCGTTGCATCAGTAATCTTGATTTGTTGATTGCAATTTTTTCTTGTAATAGACACAAGAACATCCATCATCGTTCTTACAAAACTTTATATTTTCGGATGGTATTTTTATTTAGCCTAACAGCCATTTAAAAATATTTACTATCACTTTCAAGTTCATCCGTTCTTGTTGTTCTCGACATCCAATAACTGAAAAATTCTTGAAATCTACGTTCTATTCTTTGCTTATTTTTTTAGCATTTAATTAAACAAGCATGATGCACAGGTTTTTTTTTTTTTTGATAAATTAGGAAGGATAAGACAGGCAATATTTTGAAATAAGTAATCTTGCTCAAACTCTAATTTCAACTTGAGATTATTAATTGTACAAATAAAAATTTTACATGCTAATACTAGCTAAACCATATTTATTTAAATCTAATTTAACTAGTTTTATTTGGTTCTTAGCTTCTGTTTTCTAAAATTAGACCAACTCAATACTGAAATACTTATCGTTATGTACATACGTTCGTACTTGTGTAGATTTCTAATATCGATATGTATACAATACTGGGCAAAAATTGTCGGATAACGGTAATCTAGCAAATGAACACGTGCTGTTTCGCGGCACGTATCAGCCAATCATTTGTCAAATTACCGTATTCGACGCACAGTATTTGTGTAATTTACAATATAATCATGATTCGCAGGGAGTTATCGGCTGAATTTTAATCTTAATAATCATTATTACTTGTAACACATGAAAAAAATAACAAGAAATAATTTCATTATCATATGAGTTTGCCGGATAACTTAGTTATCCCGAAATGCCCTGTGATCACTGAATGATTTGCGTTCAACTTATTCGGTCACCTAAAATACATATGCAAATATTCGGCCACCTCCTAATGCAATACGCAAATTTTCGCTCACTTCGTAAGAGGTGAATGAAATTTTGTATATTGTATTAGGAGGTGACCAAATAAGTTGCACGAAAAATCATGTCGTTCTTTCTGTAATCGGGCATATCAGATATGATGAACAGGCACCAAAATTTTTTCAAAATCATGTGACATGCATGTCACATGATCTGCCAATGCAATAATCGAATACCAATACTCCGAAAGAAATTAACATGCACAAATTCATTTTTGAGAAATGATTTGAGTACAGCAGTTTCGTGAAACATCACGTATATCAATTTTTTTTGGCCAGTAAAATCGTAGCATTTATTAGTCACTTGAAATCGACTTTAATATTGACCAATAGAAAATTGATGTACGTTACACGAAACTGATGTACGCAAATCATTTCTAGGGATTGGAACCGCTTAAAATTTTCTTAACCGTTAATCGTTTAACCGTATTAATCGTAAAAATTTAGCCGGCATTAAAATTGTCCTGGTCCATGATAAACGTAATTCAGCCCGGCACTATAAAAAATTTTTTTTGCGGTTAAACGGTTCCAATCTCTAGTTAGTATTACTATTTGTTGTAGTTTTTTTTTTTTTTAGTAGAGAGGGTTGTTAGAAGTATTGGCTCTATTGTGCCTATCTGAGGTCCTGATAGGATCTATCAGAGAAGTGTTCTGTCTATTAGGAGGAATGAAGAATAGTTCAAATGCTTCTGGAGTAATGAGGAGTATGTTTTTATCTCTTTTTAGTTCATTTGTAGTTATTATAAGGTTGCTTAAATATATTAAATGTTGTGTATATTCTAAATTTACTTTAGTTATAAGCAATTTTTGTATATAAAATTTTTATTTTTATTTTATATTAAAGGTGACCACTTAGGCCATTGGTATGAGCTTTATTCAGATAGTTATAATATTACATCCATTTTACAAGAATACAACTAGCTACATGTACACCTTTTGAGTG